TTAATTAATCTAATTAAATACTTTAGGGTCATTTAATTAAACCCTGAAGTAATTTACTTAATTAATTTTATTAAAGTGGCCAATTTTCAAAATTTTGGGTCGAAAGTGGCCTTTTTCAAACTTGTTTTTGCCACATAGCATTGTCTAATAGATCTATCAATGATGTTTCAACAAATGCCACAACAAAAAATCCAACAAAAAAGTTGATTTAGAATTTCACTTTCTCCTTCTTCCCCAAACTGAAAGGAAGTTGTTCAAGGGCATGGATCCATGATTGTTTATTTTGAAAGTATCCCTAACACTTCTTCATACAGAAAATAATCATGGTTTTTAAAAATGAATTACTAATCGAACCGGTCAGGGGTCCGGTTACCAGTTCGAACGGTCCGACCATTCGACCTGAATGGCCGGCCCATTCTGACAAAAAATAAATAAAAAAAAATTGAAAAATTGGAAAACAGTCAAAACCATTCAAACGGTTTGAACGGTTCAAACGATTAATCGGCCGGTTCAACGGTTTGTTAACCAAAATCAACGATTTTGAGGGAAAAAGTGGTTTTGGAGGAAAATGGAACCGGTCAAGTGACCGATTCCCGATTTTTCCGGTCCGACTGTCTGGTCTGGTCTGATTATGAAAACAGTGAAAAATAACATTGATCAAATAGAATGATTGCTTATGTCTTATTAGCGACAAAAAATAATATTTTCATTTTTATTTTCTTCCGCTTAAATTTTTCAAATAGATTTTAGTGTTTAACTTTCAATTTCCATTGTTATCTAATAGAAGGTCGATTAAGGAAATCGATTAGAAACTATATGGGATGTTTTAATAAAATGCAATGTAAGGTAGATTTAAGTAATCCATGAAACGGAGTGTTTTAATAAATGAATGCAAAAAATGATTTTTGAGATTTTGTAAGAAGTGGAAACAAGAAACCGTTGCTAAAACGTTAAGTTATTATCGAGCTTTATTTTCAAACCACTAATGATAAAACATCGCATCACCAAAGACGCACATCACATCTTTGATATCTTATTCAAGCTGACCAACACATAAATCACATCCCTGTAAAAAAAACAAAAAAACAAAAAAAAAAAAAAATCAAATCTCTATCTATTCATACTGTTCAAAAACTTAACCGGAAATTGGATGCTCCGAAGCTAGCCGAGTTACGACTTGCACTTGTTGGGGAGTGGCAGACCACACAGACACCGATTATGATAAAAATAGCTCGCTATAAGCTTCTGCATATTCCCACCCACAGGAATCTTTCCGCACAAACGATTGAAGCTCACATCAAACGCTTCCAGCTTCCTCAACTTGGTAACTTGCTCCGGAATGCTTCCTCGAATCTTGTTGGCCGACAGATACAGCACCTTCAGATTGTTTGGAAACCTCACCTTGGACATATCAAAGTCGAGCCGATTCCCCGATATGAGGATATCCTTCGCTTTTCCGTCGGCCTTCAGAAACATTGACGCCTCCCCAGTAAGCTTGTTGTAGGACAGATCGACTAATTCGGCGTTTAATGCACCTAGCGAGTTGGGAATGCTGCCGGTGAGTTTGTTGTCGTTGAGTCGAAGATGTACCAACTTGTTCAGATTTCCGAGTGAAGACGGAATTGGACCGTTGAGTTTGTTATGGGAGAGGTCGAGGTACTCCAGGTTTCTAAGGTGGCCTAGGAATTCGGGGATGCGGCAAGAGAGAGGGCTCAAGCTGATCTCCAGCCTTTTGAGGTTGTGGAGCTTGGCGAATGAGTCGGGGATGCAACCGGGGAGTTTGTCGTTCTTCAAAAGTGCCAAGACAAAGGTTTCAAGGTAAGGAAGGTCGCCAATGCTCGCTGGGATTTGGCCGAAGACGGTGATCATACGAAACTCTAGACCAGTGACGCGGTTGGTTTTGGGGTCGCAGGTGACGTCTTCCCACTGACAGCAGTCGGTGTTGGGATCCCAGGGGAAGTAAGAATCTTTGGGGATGTCTATGGATTTCTTGATGTTTAGTAGGGCGTTTTTATCATCTAGGTGACAGCGGAAGGAGGCGGATAGAGTGAGAGATGGGAAAGAGGACGAAATGAAGAGGAGGGGGAGAAGGAAAGAAGAGGGCGAACAGGCACTACCTTTTCTGCAAATTTCCATATTCGACGATATTCTTCTTCGTGAAATTTGAGCTAATAAGTTACAGAGGAAAGGGGAGTTATGCTTTGAATTTATAGAGAGAATCATATGAGCTTGAGTGGTTTCTGGTCAAAGCCAAAGGTCCCTTGATTGCTCTCAGTTTCTTCCTACGTGCTTGGTAAGCTTGATCTCATCCTGAATAGAGAGCCTACCGGTTCTGACAGGTGATACACAGTTTCTCTGGCCCATTGAATTTCACGATTATCGCGCTCTTTCCTGGTCATTGAGATATTTTCCTTACACAGGGCGCCTCACACCGACCACACAGGCACATCTCACATGTCACTTGCAGTGAAAATATTTCCCGTAAATAATAAAATAAGTACGGAAACACATCTCATAAAAAATATTCCCAATGCATGTGTCGAAATCGTTGTGAGGCGCCCTCTATGAGTAACAGATCGTTCCTATCTCCTTTACTAGTTATTAAAGAATCCGGATTTTAGTGCCAGTATTCAGAAGTGGATAATTAGTGGCGAGTTTCTAGAGTGATAACGGCTTAATGTGATAGCTGTGCGCTAAAGCAACTAAAATGTCTTTGATTAGTTGCCATCGCCCCACTTTGAATTGGATGAGTTAATTCTTGGTGGGGCCACTACATTACATATAAGGGAATTGAGATATTCTATTGAGAGAGTGTGGTCAGGATATTCTTTGAGGTTGGTGTGAGGAGCATTTTGCAAATAGCAGATTCAAACTTTAGGGGTGTCCAGGGTTTGGTTAATTGAATGGTAGGTTTATTTTTGAAACTGAATCGGGGTAATAGACACCGAAACGAAGTTGATCGGTTAATTGATTGACCAATTCGGTTAATCATCAATTCGGTCTGTCGATTTGTCGATTTTTTATTATTTATAATATATATTATAAATATATAATAAAACACTAGAAAAAAAAAATATATATAATATTATACTTTAAATAATAAATAATATATTATATATTATGAATATATATATATATATATATATATTTATATGAATAGTGCATATTTATTAATTTATGATGTATAGAAAATATTATATACATAAAATATATAAATATATGTATACTAGTCGGTTCAGTTAAAGCAATGATTTTCTATTTTAGCCCAAGTCTCCCCCTTCTCTCTCATTAATTTCATTAAATTATATTTAGGGTCGAATTACCTCTCATTAATTTTATATTTACTCCTATATTTAAGTGCAATTTCTCTCTCATTAATTAGTTAATTATTCATGTAATTAATGCATAATTTTAAATTTCAATTTCAATTTTAGCGCCTAATTGGAATTCTCTTCTCATTAATTTCATTAATTAATAACCCTCTTTTTCATCAAATTCGTTTTGTTAGCATAAAGCTACAAAATTAGCAATAGCAAGATTCGAACCTTAGATAAGCTTTAACAACTAGAGGTTCACCACTAAGACACACCCATTTGCTTACTATGGGTTTATGCATTTTTGTTTTTAAGTAAATTTTCTCTTTTTCTGAGTGTATGCCTATCAATAAATGTTAGAATTAATTATTAAAATTTATGCATTAATAAATATTAATATATATTATATTGATTATTTTAAAACTCATATATATCAATATACATTTTAGTTTTTTGTTATTTGTTTTCTCACGTTTTAGTTATTCCATCATTTGTCAATAGTTACTAAGTGTGTCCCAATATCTCGAATTTTATATAGACCATTAAATTCCAGTTCTTTTTTTTTTTACTTTTAAATAACTTATTTGCAATCATATAAAACTTGCAACTATCATTGTGAATATATATTTTAAGATTTATTTGAGTTTCTTAACATATTTATGTGTATCTTGATTTTTCATCTGTATCTATACGTATCCAAAGCGTATCCTGATATATTTCTTAAAATTATCTTTCTGATACACCTTACGTTTCCGATACTTTAAACCTTGATAATTATTTGTTTGATTTATTTCTTACAATTAACAGCAATGAATTCCTCCCCTCTTTCTTCGCTCTTCTTCTTCTTCTTCGGAACCATGTCTTCCTCCCTAAACCCTAACTCACTGCGTCTTGCGCCATACCCAAAGCCATGTTCACATTGTCAAAGAAATAAAATGATATTTACAAAACACTAGTTGTTCAATTATCACATGAGGCATGACCACGTTAGTCCATAAATGGATTGTCAATCATACCCAAAAGACTACCTGGTTGTTCAAGTAGACGTTTTGTTATATACTCTAGCCTCATTGTGAATAGTTGAAGAATAGTGGAGTGAAAAGGATCCAAACCAAGGAATTCAAATAAAGTTCATGAATAAATTAATGATACAAAATCCAGTCTTCTTAGAGTCTGTCAATGACAAATTCCAGATTCAAGGCCATCCAGTCATGTAACAATTTGAAAAGTCTAACAGAAATTGTCTTTTAAGTAATTAATCACAACCATATAACTTATATTGTTAAAATCTTAGCAGAATGAAGACTTATCAAATGGAGATGGAGAGTTATATCTGTTAGAGAATAAAACCTCTTTAAGGATGTCAAAATCACTTTAAGGATGTCAAAATCAGCTATCATAATTAATTAAGTTGGGCTTTCGTATGAAGGGGCGTGTGGGGTCATATATACAAATTAAAATTTCCATCTCAAGTATCCATCTGTGTGAAAAACAGGTTGCATGCAGTCATTAATCGAAGAATACAGTTTTGGGGCGGAGATGTGATCATTAATAGAAGAATGCTGTGGGCCCTATCTTGAAATAGATGACATGACAATATGACATCAAGATTCAAGATAGATGATGATGAGGCTACGTGATAGTCTGATAGATACACAATTAAACTAACCAGCTTCTAATTTATTACGTTGATGATAATTAAAATACTACAATATATCTCTCTTACATACTTATTACAACAATATAATTGGAACATAGCATTCGAAATTGCAATTTCCCGGCAACCAACCGTTCAGGCCGGAAAATTCATTATTCCATCATTACCATCCATGGCCGACGTACGTAGAAGGTAGCTAGATCTACTTACAACTAGGGAGAGGCTTTCCACACAAACAGGGGTTATGGAAGAAGGAGTCATAATCAAACCTCTTCATGTTCTTACCATACGGGATCCTTCCACACAGTCCGTTATAAGTCACATTTAAGGTTTGCAGCTCTAATTTGATTATCTCCTTGGGTATACTCCCATGGATGTGGTTGTGCGACAGATCCAGGTATATCAACGTCTTCGGAAACTTCACTCCCGAAAGGACGAAGTCAAATTTGTTCCTTGACAAGTCGATTGTCTGCAAATTTCCATTTGGGACGAACAACGTCGATGCATCCCCGACGAGCTGGTTATGGGAAAGGTCGATTTTCGTCAAGTCCACAGCACCCAGTGAACAGGGGATCTCACCGGAGAGCTGGTTGTGGGAGAGAATCAGATAGAAGTCACTGGTTTTAAATCCTCCGAACGAATAGGGTATGGGTCCGCTGAGTTTGTTCCTGTCAAGGAAAAGAGCTGACAACTTGGGGAGGTAGCCAAGGGAATCTGGGATTGAACCAGAGAATTGGTTGAAATCTAGATTCAAGTATTCCAGGTTTTTCAGCTGACCCAGGAATTCTGGGATTGGACCGGAAAGGCCGTCCCAGCTAAAACGGAGAAATTTGAGGTGCACAAGTTTGGTGATGGTGGAGGGGATGGAACCATGAAGGCCGGGGTTCTTGTGGAAGGTCAGGTACTGGAGGTAGGTGAGGTTGCCGACGGCAGGGGGGATTTCGGCAGACAAGTTGCTATGGGAGATATCAAATTGGGTGACGCGGTTGGTGTTTTCGTCGCATGTAATGCCAGGCCAGTCGCAGCAGTCGACGTTGGGAAGCCAGGCGATGATGTCGTAAGGATTGTTCAGGGCTTTCTTTATACCCAAGAGAGTATTATAATCGTGTGTGTTGCAACGGAAGGAGGAAGCGGAGAGAGTGAGGGACGGGAGAGAAGGCAAGACCAGAAGGAGAGAGAGAAGGAGAGATGAGACGAGTGAAGTACTGCTGCGAGACTCCATGATATCTTTCTCTGGTAGTTTTAGGAGATTATTGTTGCTTGTTGGGATGGGTCTCCATATACGCTCTAGTCATCTATTTATAGTGAAACCAGGAGAACCTAGCTACCTTATTCTTTAGGTACCAACCTCAGAACTAAACATGATAGCTTAAGAATTAGCTAACCACCCAACCTATGACACGTGGCAAGTTAAAACTTTATTGTATTCCAAAACTTTAATCAACAGGTAAACTAGAGTTGAATCACGTGCTTCATGCTACACTGGGACCACCTATTGGGCAGTAGGATAAGCATCACCGTGTCATTTAGTCAATGACGGGGACAAAAATAAATCCCTCAGTTTCGTCACGGGGTCTGAATCTTCCACTCCAAAATTAGGGTTGTCAAAAAAACGGGTCTGGGTCGATACAAGATGGTCACTCCAAGGTTGTAACTTGCCACCTGATTTTAGCAGATATATACTTGAGATCAAGTCCTACTATCACCAAGGTTAGGAGATTATAGATGGGGAGATAAGCAAAGAAAATGCATTTAAAATCATCATCAGCTTCATCTAAAAAATGCGAGTCTGGATCTCCGAGCCACGGTGACTTGATAGTAGCCACACATAGGGAACATCTCATGTTTTTTTTAACCCAATTTTACTCCAGGTGGAGGGGCGACTACATTAAATATTATTAATCATTTTGAAAAGGAAAATTTGTAAAAACAGGAGAGGATTTAGCCCACCTTTCCCCATTATCCAAGCATACATAGCTCTTCCTCACCATCTCAGGCCCACAAAAAAAAAAGGCCTAGCAAAACCTAATTAATTCTAAGGATCGGAAAACCCAAATTATCTTCGTGAATAAGATGAGCCAAATCTTTAAGAATTTGGGAATTACCATTGATCACTTTAAGCGTGCACCTTTTATCAATTCCTTTGTTAGCTAGGAGATTAGCAGAACGATTTCCTTCTTGTAAGATATGGGTCCACCTAATGTTCATTCTCTGCACCAAGTTCTTAATCCTATGCAAGATTTAAATAGAATTCTAAGGATAATCCGATCTACCCATTAGAATGTCAATAATAATCATGGTATCACTTTCAATCTCAATCTCTTTATAGCCTCTTTGCAAACAAAGGCTTAGACCATCATACAAAGCTAAAAATTCTTCTTGAATAGAAGTAGACTGACCATAGTAACAGTGAAAAGTAAAACTGAGTGTTCCAAAAGAGTTTCCAAGTAAACCCCCACCTCCTCCTTCACCAGGATTGCCGCGACAAACTCCATCCACATTCATCTTGTAAGCAAACTTACTTGAAAATTTCCAATTAACCCATCTGTATTTGTTCCGTTTTGAAGCTTTCAAATAAATATTTAGCACTTGAAGTGAAAGAGGGTCATTATCCATATTTGAAGGATCATCACATGTTATTATGCATGATGAGATGTTCCCAATGCACAGAAGTAGTATTTGCTGGCTAAGAATGAATAAAGTTTTTCTGGGTAGGAGATTTGGAGTAATGGGGCACCCACATCATTCAGAACAAGAGCTAAAGAAAATTTTATGGTCTCTGAGGAGGGGCTAGTTCGGTTCTGCTACTCACAAAATGTTCCCACATGTATACCCATGAGACATTACAGTGCATTGAGAATATCTTCCCTGTCATCCATTGTGGGTAGAAAATCTAGAATGCCTAAAGAGGAAGAGAAGTTGTTGGACCATATCACTAGATTTGGTGTTGGCTGTCGTAGTTTAGTTTCCAAATAAGTAATCAAACATCTAGCATCTCATACTTATTTTCTATGGCAATCCTTGTGTAATAATTGGTAATTCTGTAATTCTAAGTGTTGTTCTAGTAGATCTTCAAAGGTGTAGAAGGAGTTCTAGGCTTCAATATTGGGAATATCTTCCTTCTGTTCTAGTATCCAGATGTGGATATGGACTAAATTATTCGATGCAAATAAATTGAATCGATATTGAAGAATTTTTATTTTAATTGTTTCTTTATTGGAATTACAGGTAGGTTCAAATTGTGTATCATGTGATTCAAAGGGGCGATGCACATGGAATTAAAAAGAATTATCTTGTGAAAATGGACTCAAGACGTCTATATATAGAAGGGGTATTACCCGTCAAAAGTGACCAGGTGTCCTAATTCTAAGAATTTGACATATTGGTGACCTTGAAATCCAATACAATAGGCCCGCCCAATACACCCCATATGTGTTGACACCTTGAACCATGTATATTCTCTCTCCTCCTCATATTGCTTCCAAATCCGTCTATAATTTTGTCTTCTTTTTAATCTTTGAGAAAAATAAGAAATCAAAATGAAGCTATTTTAACTTATCCACAACCAGCTATGGAATATGGGTATCTTTTAACACCATCCTGTGCAGTGTTTTCAAAACGGAACCGAATTGGAAAAACCGAGCTGATTGGTTTGGTTTTACTTTAAAACCACTTTTTTACCAAAAATCGTTGATATTTGATTTAATTAAAAAATTGTTGATCCATTCAATTGAACTCGTCAAACTGTCAACCTAAACAATGGTTTTTAGTTTTTTATTTTTTTATTTTTTGTCAGAACAGACCCTCCATTCGACCCTGGAATCAGACCCCAAAATAATTTCTTATCCAATCCGATTTTAAAAACCTTGATCTATATATTGTATGACGATGAAAGATTTATAATATTGATTATTATTTAAAAATAAAACTTGATTTAATCTCTTAATTAAGTATCAAATTTATATATCAAAACCAAAATTTATAACATAAAATGTCAAACAGAATTTATCAAAATATAATACAAGTCATTTTCTAGTAATAATAATTGATGTAACCGTTTCTTGGTCACATATCAATTTTTTTGTGATGTATCAATTTTTTGGCTAAGTACCTCATCAGTGACGTCTGTTCCCAAGTGGCCTGTGACTCAGAGACTGAAGTGGAGCTCCCTAGTGGCGAGCTGTCTGGTGGCGAGCTACCTAGTGGCGAACTGCTTGGTGGTGAACTGCCTAGTGGCGAACTACCTTGTGGTGAGCTACCTTGATGAGATACTTGGTGGTGGGTTACCTGGTGGCGAACTGCCTTGTGGTGAGCTACCTTGATGAGCTACTTGGTGGTGAGCTACCTGGTGGCGAACTGCCTGGGAGGTGCCGACTTACCTGTGAGGTGCCGGGCAGGTGCTGAACTGACCAGGTGTCGGGCAGGTGCCAAACTGACCAGGTGCCGAGCAGGTGCCAAACTGACCAGGTGCCGAGCTAGGCAGGTTAGGTGACAAGCTTCCTTGCTCTTTAGAGTCCTGCAAGGAACCAAATGCCAAAGGACCCGAGGTGGCTAAACCATCAGGCCGTGCCTATGCCAGGCCGCCAGGTGGGACACCATCAACTTGGTTAAGGCAAGTTGTTGCCAAAGTGGTTTCGGGTGTCACCTAATTGTTCTGAGGTGCCATGTGTCATAATATCATTGGAGAGCCAAAACCACACTCATCAATAATGATGATGATATGATGAGAATCTTCCAAAAAATATAAATAAAACAAAAATGTCCTAATGATTTTTTTTCCTTTTTTGCTGAGTCCTAGTGACATAGGTTTCATGATTTGCTTGGTGTCCACGCTGCCCATTCGCAACATATTCGGAGAATCAGAGCTTCTTTGTTGGTTTTCGATTTGTTTGTTTCGTCCGTTGCAGCCTATACAGTGTCCCAATAGAAGATGCCACCACGTAATGTCCCTTATTTGGATTTGCCACCACATCAGATCAGATAGGTTCAAATTCAAATCCAAGGTAATGAATCTTAGGTCCCGTTTGGTTCATAAGTATAAGAGTTTGAAATTAGACTTGGAACGAGCCATTCTGATTTTAATTGCATGTTTGATTGAATGGAATCGGAATTTAATTCTATGGAATGACATTCTTTCATTTGAGAGAATGACCTTTTCCTTCCCTTCTTTTAGAAATGAAATCCATTCTTACCATTCTAATTTCGATTCTATGAGATTTTAATTCCAAATCTGATTTTCATTTTCTGCAAACCAAACAGACTTATTTTTCCAATCTTCCAACCAATCGATGAAACCCAACTCATGACACATACAATATTAAAAACATAATATCCGATGTAATGTAATACATAGTTGCAGGAACAAATACCACCCAACCAATGACATGTAGTAAGTTAAAAGTTTTATTSTCAATGTGCTGGTTAAACCGTTAAACTTAACGAGTCGCGGAGTCGGTGGCACACCACGTTTGGCAAACGTTTTTACTGTAGACCTTTTACGTCATTATTATCAACACCGGCTTCAGCAGATATATGCTGTCACCCCCGGTGCATGTGACGACGTCAATGTCATGCCCCACTTCCCAACCAACGGGCGGTTTCTTATTCCATATATAAAACAAACAACCCATTGTCGAGTCATCATCATCATCCACTCCTTTTATCCGAAGGCCATGGCCACAGGATGTTTCTATTGGGATTTGGCTGTAGTTTCAGCTAATTATGGATGCATTAAATAGAAGTCTAAAACACAGAGTAAAACAGAGCAAGAGGGGCTGAAATTACTTCATACGTATTATAGTTTCATTTTTTGTTAGAGTCATGCAAGAATAGATTCTTTTGCGAGCCAAGTAAAAAGAATACACTTTTCAACTAACATAGATTTTACAAAAAGTAGAAAATGACTCAACTAAAATTACTTTTTACCTACTACATGAAAAGACAAATAACTTCCTAGCACATTAGCTATAACATTTTCCCCCTTAATGTGTTGTTGTTGGACTCCTAATGCTTCTCTTAATTCTTCAAATTTCTCTCTTGTCAATGGCTTGCTGAAAATATCAGCCAATTGTTCTTGGGTCCTGCAATATACTAATTCAATTTCTCAATTTTTAATGGCATCTCGAATGAAGTGATGTTTGAGAGCAATGTGCTTGATTCTACTATGATAACATGGGTTCTTTGACATAGCAATGGCAGATTTGTTGTCACAATGAATCACCGTAGCATTCTCTTGCTTCTCATTAACATT